TTTATTATTTTAATTTGGAAAACCCTTATTGAATCACCCTTTATGCTGCGAAATTTGTCAAATCGGAGAATATGACAAAACCCTATTAATTAAATAGTCAGAATTTAAATTTATCTAAACTTTGGGATTTCTTACTGTGACTGCGAAGCATACGACATGTTTTAAGTAAATGTTTACGCGAAACATCCTAATCCTAATCTAGTAAAAAGAATAAGTTTGAACTTGGATATAAGTAGAACAAAGGTACACCCTTATCACATTGAATGACATCAAAGGGCTTTGATTTTTCTTTCTAGGTAAAAAGCTTCTAAAAAAAAATTATCTCACTTTTAAATCAGTGTTCACTCTAAGTATAATTAATATAAGAAAAATTTGCAGAAAACTGGTTTTAAAATTCGAGATGGCAATTACGCCCTCAGAACCCCAAAAATAATTTCCAGCCTTTACCTCGTTGATCTTGTTGGGACACCTAGTACACATCTTATACGTAATTTTTAATATTGTATTCCGAGGAAATCGCACAAAATGGTGCACATTTTTATATAGAAAACCATATTTTGTAGAAATAACAAGATTTTAATTTTAAAAGAAAGTTAATCCTTGCAAAATTAGAGGGATTTCAAAACGCAGACGCATAGTAGGAACGTTTTGTTTTTTTATATTGAAATTACGATTTGGTTGGTTACAAATTTAGTCAAAGTTGGAAAAGGAAAACATTTATTTTAAATGATTCCTATGGCATTGCCTATAAGAGATCTTTATCGAATAAAATTTATCATTGAAGTATCTGAGAAAAATGGCAACATACAGATTTGTGGTTGCCTACATTTTACCCAATTCAGTATCATAACGGTGCAGGTTTGTGGATTCTATCATTTCTAAATCCCCAATTGCATTTATAACATTCGGAATATACGAAATATAGAAAACAGCAGGACCTGGCAACTTAACGTATAGTTTTATTTCAGCATGTCTGCCACCACAAACACGTCAGTTTCTATGGTGACTGGATGTACTTCCAAATCTGTATACTTTCTATACTACTTTCCCTGTTCGATGTCTCTTTCACGCGTAAAATCTGTGCTCCACACTGTTTTCGTATACTGTCCTCTGTGTTATCTGTCCGCTTTTATCGCAGCGTTTTGTTTACTTCGGTCCTCTTCTCGAAAGCAATCGCATTGTTTAGATAAAAAATTGTCTAGGGGATTTTGAGAATTAATGACACTGTTTACGAAATCCTCGCGTAATAGTAATATGGTGTCGACCACAGATTATAACAACTGTTGTAATAATAAAATACCAAAGTGGTAAAGACGATATCGATTGGTCGCGTATTTTTACGATGTGTTATGTGTGCTTTTGCACGGGTGTGTCCCCCCTGTACCCCTAAAACTTTTAGTCTCGGTCCACGTAGCGTCGCGACGACCTTGACATTTGGGAGACGCACAAGGTCGTGGCTACTGATGCCAGTAGCCTCTTGAATGGTTTTTACCATACTAATTTAACTCAATTTTTCTAATTTTAAATTTAAATCGGTAGAACTGTCAAAAATATTCATAAATGAATGAATGGTCAGAACTTATTTGGTTATATGCTCTACAAATTTTGTTGTTATGGTTGTAATTAGAGAGACTGCTATGCGGTCTTCGCACTGCTGTCCTCACTCTTCCCGAAACAATAGATGCTGTTTGCAAAACAGTCACAACTGGCCATGTTTTTGAGATACAGAATGAAACGGAAAGAGAAAATTTGATCATTTTAATTACCCTATGTATTTTAAATACCCGGTATCATAATAAAATGACAAAAACTATGTTATGGACGTAGAACCCAATGGCGTAGTCAGATTTGTTGTAAAAGATATAGATAGTTTTTAAGATCAAAATTTCGATTGCGCTTTTTATAAACTTTTTTATAATTGTTTTTTTTTTTAAATAAAAATAGAACTTTTTCAAAACCTTGCTCAAATTGATTTTCATCAGCTGCCATACATTTTTCGCATGATTTCCAGAACGTTTATATAACAAACTAACGTTTGATTTAAACGATCAGCCCCTTCAGTTTTTCGCGTCGGTTTTGAAACACTTTGTATAAAAAATAGCACAATTATCTACTTTTGAAAAACCTATAAAAAGTGTTCTCGAATTTTCATATAATAAAGCAAAAAAATCTGAGTACGCCACTGTATTCTACGTAAAAATCTACATAAATTTCCCTTTCGTCATCGCATTATGATGCAGAAAGTCAGCGATGATTGTTTCGAAACCGAAATCTTTTGTTTTCCGCATCCCTCTCTCTCTCTCTAACAATAGCTCAGATACACGGTAATTACAACGGAAAATGTACAGTATGAAGAACTTCCCAACTCATTACGGAGAAATTCCGAACATTCTTCTCTCTGCGGTGTTTAATCACGTTCTTAATCATAATATCTCACAAATATAAACTTAAACGCAATTAAAAATGTTTTAATTTTAAAAACAATTTTTTTAACAATGGTTATGTCCATCAATTACATATCAACCGTAAAAACCAAACTGATTAGATTTTCAGGATTTATTGATGAATGTCTATATTTTATTAAAATGCCGAAAATTTTAATTTATTTATTTATTGTCGTATTGTTTTTAAGTTTTAAATAATCAAATGCAGAATCCTATGGAACAGTTTTTTTTCACCGATTGTTTGCGTAATACATTTAAGTTTAAGATTCCGAAGGAAAATTTCACTGCTCGCAATTAATTTAAACAATATGAGAGACGCGTTGTTTTTTCTTTTATTTTTGGTAATAATGGCGGGTATATTTAATAGTACAAAACACTGTCGGCACTTTTGTTCATTTCATTTCATGTCATATGTCTCTGTCAAATAGGAAGTGAGTTCGGTATAGTTTTCCTTGAGAGCGTATGATTTTCAAACTGTAGTTCTGAATGACATTTAATTTGTGCAAGATATTACTATACGAGGGGGTACCCATAAAAAACCGGAATTGAATTGCCACGCGCAGAGCTTGTATAGTACACCTTTCTGCCGCTAGGTTGTGGTGAGACCGTTAATCAAGCTTTTTATCTCGAAGTTTTAAGAAGATTGCGCAACAGTATTCGACAAAAAAGACCCGATTTGTGGCGAACAGGGGACTGGTTCTTTCACCACGATAATGCACCTGCACACACAGCCATTTCTGTGAAGCAGTTTTTGGCTAAAAATGGCATGGTTCCTCTGCCCCATGCACCTTACTCGCCTGATCTCGCTCCGTGTGACTTATTTCCACATATGAAAAGGGACATGAAAGGACAGCGATTTGACAACATTGAAGAGGTCAACAAAAAAAAAGAGGGATGAGCTGTCGGCTATAGCCAAAATGAATATGAAAAATGTTTCGAACAGTGGAAGCACCGAGAGTATTTTGAAGGGGATAAGGTCGTTCTGTGATTTTCAAAACAATATATAATTTATAAATAATGATTCCGGTTTTTTTTGGGTACCCCCTCGTACAATCCACCTCACACTGTAACGTCAACTACAAGTAACTTGGATATTAAGAAGAGTAAAGACACAATCTGCCTTATTTGATAAAAGATAAAGACCAACTTCCTTATTTTCTTAGACAAATAACATATGATTTTCCCGCCTGAAGTATATATTATATATTATTATTATATATATTATATATTATTCCCAAATATTTGATTTCAGCCATTTTAATTATATCATTAGTCAGTTTTTATATAGTCAAAATCTGGACTATTTGCCTTAGTTAAAGAAAATGCGATATAGTGAGTTTTTTTAGTATTTAAGGACAGATGATGTTCGAGAAGGAAAACGGTATCATCATCAAATGATTCTAACCCCTGGAAAGTACTGGACCAAGCAAACCAAGCCGCTTTCATTGGTCCACCGAAGATACCATTTACTCTAAAGTGCTGCTTCCTATCTAATGAGTCAGTTTATTTAAAAATTAATAAATATTAGGACAATGAATAAATAATTTTAAATTTTCACTAATTTAACAAAATATAGATAGTAAACCATGAAGACTGTATGAATTCATCTTTCGCGGTTGATATGTAATCAATTTGTTAATTAAATGTATTCGAAATTTTGATTGTTAAAAACTGGTTTGGGGATTATATGTAAACGCGACAGTTCTCCCAAATGTTAAAGGAAAGCTCCGAGCGTGGTACACCTGGCCTTGCCCACTATTAATTAACTTTTTAATTTATTTTCCTGTCTTTTGTTTTTGTACTTTATTTCCAACAAGCCAAACTATGTTGTCGATGTAATTTAATAATAATAATAACACTGCACGTTCAAATATACGAGTGTATGCGATTTTGTGAAGCCTGGCTTTTTTTAGAGGAACCTATGCACCATTGTACAATTTTAGCATATGCGCCGCTTATTTGTTTATACGTCGATTGTTTAAAAAATTATAATAAAATCGATCCGTTGCGTTAAAAGAACGCAAAATGAATCGCTACATGTAGTTTTTCCATTAGCGAGTAGTATTTGGAAGCATGCTTTACGCGTTTCGTACAATTTACACGAAAAATAAATTAAATTGTACGAAATCCTGCTCCGGAATTCCTCTTTCACGTTTGAAGCAACCAATTCTAATAATGGTTAGTCAAATATTAACTTTGTGTGAACGCGGAACATCGGAAAGGGGAATCCTACGAGGTTGGCCGACCTGGATGTACAAATATTTAGTACAGTCCTGTCAGGGCAATTGTGCACTTCATTCATAGCATGACATCTTTATCTAGTTCATTACCCGATGTCGTAAATTGACACACTAATTTTGTCAGCGAGTTTTGAAATCATTATTTATGGTTATGGTAGCAATATAGCTAAAATATACTGATTATACGTAATTTAACTGCACAACTGCTCCGACTGGAGTATATTGCAAGTTTTCCGCTCCTGTATTGTAATTTTTCTTCTCGCTTGACGCACGAAGTATGCCCACTAATATCCGTTTATTTTTATGGGCCGGGTAGATAAACTGGACAGCAGCTTCTCGCGGTCCAGATCGAGCTCGATGAGCAGCTTGGACAACATCACCTCCGAAGCTATCCAATGTTTGATTTTCGCCGACTCGTATACCAGAAAATCAGGTAATTTGGAGGTTTGCATCAACTATGTTTCCGAAAAAAAAGGTATTATTGTTCAATATTTGTATTTTAGGCCGTTTTAGGATATTTACATTTTTAACTCTCTATAGGTAAATATATTAATTAATTAATAAATTAATTTTGTTTAATTTGTTTAATTTAATTAATTGATATTTTTACTTACAGCAGTTTATGTAAATATCTTGAAAACCGCTTAAAATACCATAAAATGACTCCGTCTTATGGAAAATTAATTTATCGCAAACGTCCACATTGAGAGGAAACTTTTTTGGAACAAAAAAAAACAATCAATTGTGTTTTCCATTACTATTACTAATACTAATGAGAAACCAGAATAAGAAAAATTTTGTTAGGCATAATGATTGCAAAAACTTAAAGTGGGTGATCCACGTGGCCAAATTCGTTTAATAATTTTAAAATAAATTTTTGGTTGGAAACTAATTACTATTAAAAACGTCGCTGCCAATACGTGTATCTTGAATTCGTGTTGCAAACCGTTTTCCCATATCAAATGAAGATTTTCCAATTTCCCCGTATGTCTTTTATGGAAATTAAAAAAAGCCTCTACAAAACTATGTTTTTCATTCTTCATTGTTTACAGATCAGTGAGCAGCAAATGCTGGACTGGTGCGTTAAGACAAGGATAAAGACTTTCTCGTTTTATTATTCTAATTTTCTGATGCAGAACAGAACACGCACTAGGATTTCTTCTTTGTGATCCAGTGCGATATTTCTTGGACCACCACCATTGTGGTCTTTTCGACGATAAGATGTTGTACCTTAAAAGCAGTCATAAATGTAGCGAAAAAACTTCCTGTCTTTATGTTATGACACTGATATGACTTTCTCGATTGGAGAACCTATTAACAGCAATTGCGAAATGAAAAATAAACACAAACAATAACTTTCAAATGTCACATAATTGTCAAAATTATAACGTTCTATGCCTCCCATGATTTCAAATGTTCACTGAACACGAACCGATCATAGCCTACTTAAATTTTATGGAACATTAACTGGGATCCAAAACCTACTTTAATTTTATAACAACTATCCAAAACTAACTATGCTGTAGAGATTTAGGAGCATTAACAAAAAAGGTATAGAACGCCTTGGTGCAAGATAAAAGTTCCATGGACGAAGAGAGTTCGCAATGTAGAGAGAATGTCGTGCTTCAACAAGAAAGTTGAGATTCTAGTCACAATTAAGATTGCTGGAGTATATTGGGCATGTGATGATTTGTAGAAAGTACTGTCTACTATAAAATATTATACAAGGCAAGGTGGTGGGTGATACAAGCCAAGTTGAAGAAAGAAATCCTGAATGAAAAATATCCGAGACTGGTATAGTGTGAATGCCAGTTCAACTTTTAGAGTAGCATTTGACTATCTAAGATTGGTCATGACGTTTACCAACGTTCTGAAAGGGCATGGTACTCGAAAGGAAAACATGGGAGAAATAAAACAGGTCTGACGGAAGCCGGCTTTTAGTTTGAAGTTGTCGGAGAATGTGTTGTTTACTGGGTTGTGTTTTGGGATCTGTGTTAGACTCTGTGGGGTACCCACCTTACATTTTCGAAATCATTGTATTAAACCAGAAAGCATCAATATGTTTCTATGTTGAATTCCCCAGATTTCTTTATTAACTTTCATATGGTACGAATATGTACTCGAGTGCCTCTTCCAGTTACAAACCTTCTTGGGGAATCTGTGTTAAAAATATTGATTTTAATCTGTCGTTCATAATAGTAAGAAGAACTTTGCTCCTGTCATTTTCCGACTTTCCTGTGTTTTACGATTGTTTGCAAGAATGGACAATTTAAAATTATTTTCAAGTATAGATCCGTATAGCTATCCAGAACTGTTGGAAGAATTATCCTCTAATGCTAGGGTGGTAATTTAGGAAGCAATATCTCTTTTGTAAAGAAGTTATAGCAGTTATAGTTATTTTTGCTTTGTCACTCAATTCAAATTAAATTTATTTCTACATTCTTTCTTTTTTTTTGGGTTTAGAAATTGTTTTGCTTAGTCTTTTGTATTATGAAATATGTACTTAGTTTTAGTGTACCTTTGTAAACTGCGACGTTAGTTCGTCATGTTAGGGCACCTTGTTATAATAAATAAAATAAACATTGAGATCCAACAAATGTGGTTTCAGCAAGATGGAGCTCTTCCGCATTAACACCGAGATGAATTTTTCAACAATCGTTACACACAGAAATTCTAAGCAACGTCCATGAAAATATACGAAAGTGCCTAAACATTTTTGGATATTTATAATGCCGTAATACGATTAAAAATAAGATAAGAAGTTAATTTGTAGTAATGACTTTTTGAGTTAATTTGAAATTTGGCTGTTATTTTCACCAAAATTGCTAATAGCTGTCTATTGCATTATCTACTGCTCCAACAAAGTTCTTTCTCCTCATCATTTCTTAATCTTAATAGAGCCGAGAACTGTTGGATAATAGTCATGGTTAACTTATGTCATAGCAATAGTTTTATATACAAAGAAGGTTAAATATTGGAAAAGTAAAAATTAATAAATTATTAAAAATAGGTATATGACAAAAAAATGTAGGTTTTTTTTGTAATATCTTTCAGAAAAAATAATCATTTACATGTTGCGCCATTTAATAAAATCGAAATTTTTCAATTTATGATCCAAAGCTCTTTATTTTGAACACTCTGTGCAACTAATGCAAATCTCGTTGCATGTATCTTTTAAAACCTTGGAAAAAATGTTTGGTTTAAAAGGAATTTAAAATTAAATTTAAAAGTAGAGTGTATGTAGACTTTGTCCACTTTTAAATAATTATAAATTGTGCATCCTAACAATGTTTACGATTTTTGTATTTACCATTTTGCCATAACTTTCGAAATCAAATTAGATAATGAACTTTACTCTATCTTTGACTCACCCCGTACATTGTTTCTACCATTATTCCGTCTTCTTATCGAGACTCTTGATTTATTCTTCTTTTTCTTCATTTATTACCTCCATATCTGCTCCATTCCCGTCACCGTGGAACAAAATTCCACAATATTGCTTCCCTCGCTCTGCCCTCCGGTTTAGTTTCCCAATCCCGAGAAGTTTTCAAGTTCCTAGATGGTACCTTATCCTATAATAAAAGGGCCACTTTCTACCTCGTAAACTAAAAATTTATCGATCGATCGATGTTGGATTCCTCCATAATTTTTTGGTTTTCGATCCGCAGAACCGACAGCGCTTACTCCGACCCTGTGGGTGGGTACGAGCCTGGGTTCGGTGTTGACGATCCTGATAGCGCCGCCGGACCCCGACAGCAGGTCGTCCCAGCCGGTGGTCGTTTCGATGGTCGGCATGACCATCTTCAGGCTCAAGGGGCCCGTCCTGATGCTGTCGTTCCTCGACTGCAACGGTGCCCTGATCCCGTACTCGTACGAGTCGTGGCGGGACGACAACAGGGAAAAGAGAGACAGTGAGCATTAGCGACGATCGTCTTCGTCGCTCGTACCATTCACGAACCCGAACGGTTTCGCAGGAACGCCCACCAGAAACCAAAACAGGATGAGTCCTACCCTGGGCGGGGGCGAGAGTCAGGGCCGGAGCGACAACTACAGTGACCGTCAGTTCGTGGTGATCGCGAGCGAGAAGCAAGCCCGCGTGGTGGCGCTGCCGTCGCAGATGTGCGTCTACCGGCAGCAGTTGGCTGACGGCGATTTCGTAGTGAAAGCGGAGGTGATTTCTTTCAGGGGTGCGTATCGAGCGAGGGCCTATCTAAAATTACCAGCCGGAAACAGACTTTTTGTACACGGCGGCCGGTTTAAGAGAGCGTTATAAAAAAGTTTGAATATAACACTTGTTTTTTTTTTATTATTTTAACCATCGCTCAATTATATACAAGTTACATTTTTTAAATGGAACACCCCATATTTTTTTAAAGTTTCCAATAATCCTCTAAAAGACGAATCTAACTATATATATAAATATCTATATATCAGCGTAAAATGCGCTGTTATTAGCGAATGTGTTTTAAAATTGAAATATTTTCGTCAAATAGGTTTCTCTCAATATTTGTAAATCAAACACCCTGTATGGTTTTACATTTTCTGATAGCTCTTGAAAAGGCGAATCCAACGATATACGAGGGCAGCGCCAAAATTTTCCGCCCTGAATATGAAAGAAACAAAGTAGAGTAACAATTCTTTATTATTTTTCAATGTAATCTCCCGTAACTCAACTCAATCCCTTTAAAAAAATATTGTTTTGGTTAGTTGGAATTGGAAGGAGAATAAAGATCAAGAGAGCTGAATTTTTACTATTTTGTACCACCAAAGCCATATTAATTTGTTTGTACCATGTGTAAAGAAACTCTTATCTTAATATTAAGCTCCCAACAACATATTGTTTGGGCGTTTCAAAAGAATGCTAGAACACTTTTCACGTTTTTCGCGAGGTTCTTGAGTATCCGACTATTTGTAGAAACTGCAGCTTGATGTTGATTTCACGTTTTCCTATGGTTTCAATCCGCCGAAATTGACCGGGAGATTGGTGCTACAATTAGGGTGCTTTAGGATAAGGATTATGTCTTCTCTCCATCATAAATCATCACTCATGATGAGGTCGTTTTAGTACCAGATTTACGGATTTCTTTTAGTCTTAAAATTTAACTTCCTTTTTGGTGTCATGGTCAAGTATCCCTCCGAGATTTTCTTAGCCCTTTAAACTCTAACATGCGTTTTATCATAACCTCGCATTCTTAGAAATTCTTATTAATAAAAAACTAAAGCTTACCTTGGGTCATTCTGTTTACAGAAAACCCGCACTTTTCACATTACAGTTATTAAGCGTTCCATCGCAAAATACACTTCACTACAACATTCCAAGACGTCCCCCATACAGTTGCCACTGTGGTCCTTACGTTCAAAACATCACTGACAGTTCTTAAGAAGTATAATTTTAAACCACATTTAAAACTTGTCCAAACACGTGTGAATATCTTCGATCCATGAAAGAAAACATTTTGCAAAATGCATTGGAAAAACAGGAGGAAAAATATCAACTGGAAGAAAATACCCATACCCATCAACAGTTGCCGAACACAATTCCTAAACCTGACATCAAATTTTATTCAATAATATTAAAGTTCTTGGAGTTAATCAATACTTCTTCCAAAGAAAAAACCGAAAATCCATAGAAATCTTTAAATAGCCAAATAATCTTTATCGTGACTGAGATCTTCAGCTTTCACCAATATGGGAATCAGTCGTCCGAGACAATGTTCATGCCCCTCCTGTAGCTCCGCCCCCTCGAACAGTACAATAGTATATAAACAGGTGCAGAGTAGAACACGGATCAGTTTCCGTTAAGTTCTGAAGAACCCAGCACAGTGGTTGACAGCAATATTGATATGCTAACAGCCGACGACGCAGAGGAATCCAACTGTTGACTGTTACTTGGTAATAAAATGAAATAACTAATTTACGGCAATTGTAGGTTAAGTGAGGAAGTATAACTTCAACCTCGCCTTTTGTAATATGTTCTTATCATGTAGATAATAAACACATAAAACTAATCGATAATTTTTCTTAAACTCATTTTTTCTTGCTTGCTTTATAAGATCCTTGACCGTCTATTTTTTTTTTTACTAATTTACTTTTATTTTAATTTTTTTTTATTAAATTACTTCCCTCGTTGTGTAATTTGCAATTTCAATAGGTATTACAAGTAGGAAATTAGATTGAAAGGCAATTTTGAACACAACTAACTTCTTTGTAAATCGTCGACCACAAAAAACAAAACTGTATAAACAAAAATATACAGCATGCAATATAAAATAAAAAAGGTGATAATTTCCATATAGTTGGTGAAAAAAATTGAGACGGGTGACGACAAGTTGTTGGGTTCATATGTGGGACTTTTTTTTTCAATTTTTGAAGTAATATAGCAAATGTTTCTTCCATATTCTTTGTTGGGGGTGGAAATTTGAAAAATTGTCTTATATTGAACCACATGGTACAAATTGGTAAAAGTTCAGCTCTGTTGGACTTTCGTAGCTTGTTTTAAGTATTTTTTGGGTTAATATTAAACTTTATTCTTTGAACACTCAATGTAACTCCGCTTATGGTCGATGACGCTTACAGATAGCGTCTGTTTGGTGTGTTACGTGTCGAACGGTCACCTGATGGCGTACAGTCTTCCCAGCCTCAGACCACTTCTCGATATTGACTTCTTGCCCCTTTCGGAGCTAAGGTAAGGGCGTTTGTCGAGTTGAATTTTCTCCACATTTTTAAATATTTGATGGCTGAACAGCGTCGCACCGTTTTCTCTTTTGTAAAACGCACCGAACTCGAAGCGTTTCTCTATAAATATATCAGTGTTGCATGTTAGTACTAGCCTCGTTCCACATGTACTAAATTCATTTTAATATACACCGGAATGTTAACGTACTAATTAAGTAACTTTGTAGAATTTCCGGGTATTGGAGGTCTTTTTTTTTTAAACCGATGGTAATTTTGTTTCTATATTTGGAATTCAGGCAAATATAGTTTTAAAAAAGTTTCTGATTATCAAGGCGATGCTGCGTTGATATATTGGCGAAGAAAATCTCAATTTTTCTTTTTTTTTTTTAATATCTTACGGTTTTGTTAAGCCGAAATTTTCTATATTCTGTTTCTAAATGGTGTGGAATTATTAAACCTCATTATAAACATATAAAAGGACAACCGCTAAATCAATGGTTTACAATTGCGCGGTGTTTTATGCAATGGACAAAAGTCAAAATAATAACTATTATTTTGTGCAAAAAATTTAACGTATCTAAAATAAAAAAATTGTTAAGTTTCTAATTTGTGGTTATAGTACTTTTTGGTATATGTACTCACTTATTTGTACAAATTATGAGTAACATTAATAATATGAATTTTATTATAATTTTTAAAACTACTTCGATGCAATTTTGGCGTTATTTTTATAGCTTTGGAACTTATAATTTTCAATTTTTTAAGAAGAATGTTCCCTTGACTGTCTCCCTAATTTAATATATTTGTTTGGGGGACATATACTTCTAAGAAACAGGAATCTCTTTGATATATGCGGAAAAAATGATAAAATTCAATCAGTACTATGCAAAATGAAGAAGCTTTTAAAGATTAACCAATATTATATTAAAAATGGTACGGAGCTAGAGAATTCTTCGAAAAATATGTGGGCATCTTTATTTTATTATTTCGCACCATTTAGAAACAGACTTAATTTAACTGCCCCTGTATAATATTCAGCTTCTAGATCCCCACTGGCAGTTTATTCATATATAAGGCGTTTCATAATAACTTGCTTTTCCCTAAGGGTTACATAATGGGTTTTCCGCATTTTAATTCAATCTGCTTTAGATATTCCCAATGACCTATATGTACTTTTTTTTTCACGTGAAAGTTATTTTTAGGAAAATATTTTTATAAAAAAAAAAGGTACGCTTGTTTCAAAAATTAAATTTATTTTTAAAATCGCCGGTGAAAATGACCTCTTGACTTTTAAATTACTCCAGTTTCAAATCAATCGGATCGTTTTGGCAGAGCGGGCAACAAAAAGTGAAGAGGTCATTTGTACTAAGAAATGAATCGGGGCTTTAAAAATGTAATTTATACAATTTATTTCGAAAAGAAACAGTGGCGAACCACCTATAGGTGTCTCTATCCATTATCTACACAACATCTAAAGGAGTTTCAACGAAAATGAGAAAAAGTGTTTCGTTTATATTTTCAACACATCGATACAAACTTTTTTCCTGAAAATCACCCTTATGAATCAGCACTTATTGCGGAACACGCTGTATATTAGAATGCCTATACATACACCGTGAACGACTAAAATATGGAAAAAAAATATTCAAATATCGGGTATTGGATTTCAATGAAAATGATGACATACGTCCATCATTATTTTTTCTTGCTCATTCTTTGCAGTAAACAGAAAATATACCTTTTGTGAGCAAAATAATAAATAAAAAGAAATTTTCTATTGAAATAAAGAGGTGGATGGTGAGTACCAGTAAGGTCCGTAAAGGAAGTGAATCTGTAAAAGTCAAGAAGAAGTTTGTAATTTGATTGATGCAAAATATTCAAGATCCACAACGATTAAAAAACTAAGGACATCACAAGATTAAACATTTTATTGGAAGTTGAGCATAATCTTCTGAAGTGGGTTCAAATAATGATGTTAGCCAACGAACAGCTTTGCGTGTACTTTCGGTACAGGGTGGTCCGTTTAAGTTGCTCCTATGCACACACTAAGGAAAAAAAGTTAAGTACAAAAAATGTTTGATCCTAAGTATATATTTTATTTATGGTTATAATATGAATATTTATAAAAAATTTAATTGTTCGCTTGATTTTGACTATTTTTTGTCACTACATAGCATACGAAATTTTGAGTAGTTTTTGAGAAAAATGAACTTTTCCATTTTTTTTGCGGGAAAACAGGTCTTTGGAAAAACGTGTTCTTTTTTCTCTTGAATACTTTAAAATGCCAATTTTTATTATCGATCCATGGAAATGATTAATATTTAATGCTTTGATGGCAAAAATGAATTTATATAGGGTGGTCACAAATGACCATCAAAAAACACCTATTACAACTATTTCTATGCACTTCGTTTTTCACGCGGCCCCATGAAAAAAGTCCAGGGATGTCAAGTCAAGGTACTTCGCTGGCTAATCCATGGTTCCCCAAATTGAAAACATTGATTTTAAACAATTCCTAACAGGCATCACGGTATGATATGGTGCAATATCTTGTTCAAAATCAATCCCGTCTTTAATATCGTCGAGTAAATTATCAATTATTAGTATTAATTATATATTTACTATTAATAGTATAAGTAAGTATTATAGTAATATAGTATAGTCTTTTTTCTGTCGATCATACCGGCCGTATTGAAAATTGACTCATCGGTAAATAGATTTTTTTTTATAAATATCCACCATAAGGAAAAAATTTAAAAAAAGTCTTGTTTGAAAGGTCTGTTGGAGTAATTTCAGAACTGGAACACTTCCATATAGATATAAAAAATGACATTACTACAGGAACTGAGCAAAAATGATCCCGATCACAGACTACAGTTTTGTGAAACTATGATAAAAATGTCCAACTTAAATCCATTTTTAATCCAATTTGTTTAAATGATACGGTAAATAAACAAATTTGTCGGTATTGGAGTACAAATAATTCCGCAACATCCATAAAAAATAAATGTTTGGGCAGGGATTTGGAATAACAAAACTATTGGACCTTATTTCGTCGATCAAAATCTTACTGAAACCCGATATTTACAATTTGTCTCATTTTGCTGTATTTCCGGACAGAGTTTTCGTAAAAGGGGATCAATAGTATGGACTTCTCCAGATACTTCCTCTGCAGGTATTTAAAATCAAAAGTGTATAGGAAAAAAAGAAAAAAAATTAGAATTAGATACGAAATAAGGCAAATTAATGGTATAGGGTAAATACGTGAAACTGATGCCTATTTTGTGACTCAACATGTATATTTTCATGTTACTACTCAATACGCGCAAGAGCAAATTATGACGGAGGTGTGCGAGTATTTTCCTTGAAATCCAATACCTGATTTTTAAATGAATTTGTTCCATATTTTAGCCGTTCATGAAAATTGAACATTCCAAACTTGTTGGTACGTAAATAACAAGTTTGTAATGACGCCCAATTCGCAAGTCCTCGGAGCACACTTTAGACTAACGTCACTCTAACCGCTCTCCATCTGCTAATCTTTTTCACCTTCACCTGTCACTAGTTTTCAGACGCCCAGTAATAAAGGGATAGTTGATCCCATGTTGACTATATGGGGCCAACAACTAATCGTTAATGAGGACACCGACCAGTAAGTTGGTTTTTTCTTTTATAATCAGTAAAAAGCGGAAAGTACCAATTTTTACAGTACTTTTGGATAAGGTATCACGCATTGTACATAAATTCGATCAATCCGGCTGTACATAAAAGTCCGAATCGCCTTTCAATAAATGTAGTATGTTTTGACGGCACTAAAAATTGGTAGTTCAAATATACGCCCCGTAAACGAATATTTGTGTCCCGATTATACACCACGGGTGGCCAAGTTTCACACCGAAGACACTTTACTAATTGGCTTCCGTCACCAAAGGCACTGCATTTACGACGCAAGTGCATGCGTTCTCTCCTTTTAAAATTTCTTATTGCATGTTAGACAAAACCATCTCAAATGGTAAGTCGGATATAGTCATAGATAAATGTATAGTCGGTACGATTTGCGATGGCATAGTCGGTCATAAAAGAAAAGTTGCTTCAGTATTTTCCCTGCTTCCACTCGTATACTAGCCATTTAGCTGCCAGTGTTCTGCCTTTGTCTATTACGCCTCGTTGTCGTGCACTCGACAGAGATAGCAGCAAATACCTTATAATAACAGAAGAATTGGAGTGGTGTCAGTGCGAAACATTTTTTTATAAAAATATGATCCCATGATACTGCAGTAGTATCTGTCTGTAAGGCAGCTCTCCAGACAATTACCAAAAAAATTGGATCAGTTCTATAACACACACAGAAAATATAATAAATAAGTGTTGGGAAAAGAGAATATACATGATATAACGATCCCTTCACTTGATATTAATGCATACCCAGGATCATTTGCTGGTAGTAATTGTTCCAGTTTTGGTTCCGATGATAAAGACATTTCATCGTAAATACAAACTAAATATGGTTTACTTGTATATTTACTCTTGGCAAATTATGTTACTTACTTGCAAGTCATGTAATCGTGATCGTTAGTGACGGCTGTTTTGCATTGATCAGATAGACATTTCAATCAATTTTATTCTGTCTGGCATTTTATTGCCGACTATGCCATCACAAATCGTACCGACTATAAATAGGTGCTCAACTGCGAACTAAATTTTACCTCCAAAATATGAATTTTAAAATGTCATAAACATAAAATAGACAATCAAATAACCAGCATTTTCAAGTGTTATATTAGTTGTAAGGGTCAATGAATAAGTTTTATTGTTTACATTCCTTTATTTAAAAATTTAAATAATATGGTTTTTATAAACCGTTTGAAGCATATTCCCAATTCCCAATTAGTCATAATACAGTTATTAAGAAAAAAACAATTTAAAACCTTAAATAATAATATCAAACAGCTAGAAATTGAAAATTTTGCAACCATCTACTTAAAAGTAACTATCTACCTATATATAAAGCACTTAATATAGGTAATGAATAAGTCAATACATGATTGATTTTCTTTTCTGTTTCCATTCATTTCATGCCACCCTCTGTCTGGCATTGGTCGCGACTATAGTCATACTGAGAATACAGTGTGGAATCTTATGGAAGGTTAACAAGCAGGTTGTTTCCAGTAAAATGACCTTTACTTTTTTTGTATTATTTCAATTACATATGTGTGTATACATAAATATCTGTATAATAGTCTCTAATGCATTTTTCTTCTCGACATGTTTTAAACAATAATACTTTTTCTCAGACAATATTCAAAATTGAAATGTTCTTATCAATTACGCCAAATCTTAGTTTTCTCAATTTTTGTAAATCAAACACGCTGTATATTTTCGCATTTTCGGATAGGCCTTTAAAATACTTTTATTGACGATTTTTATCAATTCCCAGACAATATTCACGCAATTAATGAACTTTCTTACCCTTGTGGCTTAATTATAATAATATATTAAAAATAATTATATTAAAAATAATAATAATATATTAAAAATGCATTTGGAGAGAATTTTAGGGCCAATATTTTATGACAAACGCAATTACGCGATAAACGGGTTTTCTTCAAAACATATTTGGGAATCCCACAAACTACATTATACTTTCGGGGATTCCCCGCTAATATTTTGTTAATTTATGCAGATTGTATGCCAGGGGCATCTCAAAAATTAATTCAAAAAAGTTTGTTTTTCTGTCAATGTTTATAACTGTGATGTCAATACAATACTGTAAAGGTAACAAGGTAAAATTTTCTTATATTAATGCTACTTAGAGTAAATACTGTTTTAAAGATGACACAAATTCAAACCTTTTTTGTTGGACACTTTTTACTCTATGTCTAAAAGGAAATTGGTGGGGGATGCTCCAAAATTTTCGGCAGTATCGTAATTCCCAAAATGCTTAATGGATTTTAATAAGCTTGGAGTCTTTTTTTTTTCAAAGAAACTTCCACAGGCTACTGTAATGCTTTTTACAAAACTTCTGGATTCCTCCTGCGTCGGTTTTTGCTTAGTCGAAATTGCTGACGTTTCGCCAATCATCCTGTTGGCAACTGTCAAACTCTGAAGCAGCCAACAGGATGATTGGCGAAACGTCAGCAATTTCGACTAAGCAAAAACCGACGCAGGAGGAATCCAGAAGTTTTGTAAAAAGCAAGCTTGGAGCCGTTAAAAATGTATAAAACTTTGGAGGCAAAATGCAAAAAGAAAATCCTGAAATCGTTAACACCATCAGCTGGTAAATTTGTTCTTTCCAATATAAGTTGAGCATTTATTTATTTTCTTTATCTATGAATATAGTACACAAGTATTCATTAAGTAATCCCTTTGTCAAAGTCGGATAAATTCGTCACAACGGTGCCGTCTCCGAAACACCTGTTCATTTTATTCTGCCTGATTTTTTTCTAGAATCACCCGTACGTTCGGATTCAGCAACAGAGGCCACGGTCTCTATTTGGCCTCCCCTTCGGAACTGCAGAAGTTCACTTTGTGCGCGGACTTTTGGTAAGCGAGTGTGGTTGAAACGCGGCGCATAGCTCAATTATTAGATACGCGGTGTTATTGAATATAGTTTAACGATTGAGTTTCTAAGTCGATTGATAAACGGAAAAAATTATATTATAGCGGTGGAAGCTCGGTAGCTTCGAGTAAAAGGTTAGAGACAATGGAGTTGACATCGTGTCGAAAAATCTTGCTGTTGTTTGCTTAATGGGTCGAATTTTATAAAAAAAACTTTTTATTACTTCGTCTATTAACACTGGAAAAGGGTTAGGTCAATAGTTTGCCTCCAGTATTTTTAAATTCTTGAAGAGCCTCAAAATTGCAGAGTTTCTTGTTACTGATGCTGTGTTGAAACTCCATTAAATACTACATTGGATAAATTTAAACTACTCTAAAAAATAATATGTCTGTTACGATTACAATTTATACTACAGGGAGTTTTGTGGTCAATGAAGAAACTATATTTGTAAGATGATTTGGAGGGTTCGCAACAATCAACATGGCCGCTGACAGATGGTGACTAATATGTCGGAAGATTATTTCCATCCATACCAAAATAAAATACGTAAATGCTGAAAGACACATCTTGCAAGAAAACAAATTCTATCCAAACTCTTTAGCAATTAGGCGATTTCACTCACTTAGGTTACCAAAAAGGATCAAAAGTTGCAGCTGACGTTGTAGCAGTGACATCATTACCATGTGCTAGTAGAACGCGTTTGTAAATTAAAATTTAAGTTCAATACAATGCTTTTGCCATATAGCAGCAAACGAAAGAGATATTTTCAGCATATAAATGTTGGACGACGACTTTTCCCGTCACTTCAAAATGACAAAATCGACGTGTTTCACTCTGGCAAATGTAATTGCCAATTATAATAAAGAGCAAATAGCGTGGCGAACATGCAGTAGTTAGAAAATTTCGTGCTACTTACGTCATAGTATCTAGCCAATGATGGTACCATATAGCTATATCTGCGAGTGGTTTACACCTAAAATCGTTTACCGCTTCCGACTTTCGATAAATCACGATTCAACTAGTCCCTTGTTCATTTTTCCAGGCTCTTGGCGGTCTTCCACATTTCCTAGGCTCCGTAGGCTCGAGATGGCCATACAATTTTAAAATCTTTTGAATTCTATAGTGCCTATTATAAATCCATCCACGCTAATAGATCGTCTTACTGTTTTATTTTTAGCATGGTCCAGTCTGGATGTTCTATTGCTTCTTCTCCAGCTGCCACGGCCAGCAGTGTGTCCTTTTGCTCATTTACTCCTTTGAATCTCGGAACTCGTCTTTCGGTTTTTGGGAACTCGACCATACAATCTGGCCATCTGAGTTCTGTAGTTTTTGCAATCCACTGTGCTTCCATTTATGAAAATGGATGATATCTGACCTTCTCTCCAGTCTAATGGCGGCAGTTCTTATTGCATAATTTTGGTAAAAGTGTGGAAAAGAATTTCCGGGGGCGGTTTTTAACAGCTCGTGTTTATATTGCCAATACATAGAGCCTTTCCATGATTTATATGTATCAGTACTTCCTCTGACATAATTTACAGAGTTAATTTGAAATTGTCGTCTACCTTCTAACAATAGTTTTTTGTAGTTATTGGAAATTCATAGGGCTCAGACCTGGCTAGTCATTATTCTCTTTCCTCGTGCTATTTAGAAGTTTCCAGGACCTTTTTGCACGTCAATTTCCAATCGTCCTATTGATCTGACCACATAGTGTTTCCCAGAAGTGGTTTTTTGCCTTTCTGATCAGTACCTTTGTAGACCTTCTTTTGTCTACATATCTTCCCCATCTGGTTGAGTCCCTGTCTCTAGCCAGTTTATGTACTCAGCTTTCTTTTCTTGAACAATCTCTTTCAAGGTATCGCTCCAACATGGTGCAGGTTTAGCTCTGGTTCTGGACTAAACTTTTTGCCCCCACTGCCTGCTGGATACATGTTATCATTTCTTCGTATTTGCTATTTGGAGGCTATCCAGACTATACTTTACGCTAACCTCCTCAGCTGCATATTTTTGCAAGCATCAAGTGATAATCTGACCTCATTACTCTGGATTTTAATCTTCTGTTTCGTGATTGTGTTCGGCAGCTGCAGATGAGTTTATTTTTATCTTAAGGTTCTTTCATGTTCTTTGAGCCTAGTTGTCAATCTCTCCAATTTTACCGCATATGCATTGAATGCTGTAAATTCCTGTTATCACAAGATGTTAAGAGATTGCTGAACAAGCGGTAAATCTAGTTTTTGACTTTATGTATATATTAAGAACTTTTGATATGTGGTCAGTTCCGTTTTGAATGTAAGAAACGACAAGAGTGGCAGTGTGGGGTTGGTTTCAGACTCATTGTCTTTGGAAGGCTGTGGTGGGGTTATTTTGTGATGGAGTGCTTAATATCCCTTATGTGGGAATTATTGGAGTGAAGAGCAGATGTAAGGGGTTTTAATTCTGGGTTCAATGACTCGGGCTGAGATAGTTTTACGACTCTGTAAACAAGAGAGTGGATGACCGATGATTTTTGGGCCGGAAAGTTCCAGGACTTAATGTAATGCTTTTTAATTGTTCAATGAAATGAAATGAATTAAGTACGAAACAATAAGTTTCCTCTGTAAAGGGTTTTAACATAGAAGGTACTAGAGTCCAATATTTTGCTGACCGTAGATCGAACGAGATAATCCTGGTTTGTGAATCTTAGGGAGCCCGTAGTGACGAAGAAGTTTAGAGTCATGAGGGGTGATAGACTTTTTCACACATTCTGAGAGAAAAGAAGGTTGGGTTTCATAGATGACAGGAACTTTTTTAATTCGATAGGAGTCTGAATCTTGAATCTTTTCCTGATATTCATTTGCGTTCATGATCACTGTAGCATTTCCTTCATCTGCTTTTAGAATTGAACTGAGGTGGCTTTTACTTGATGGAAATCCATTTATAAAAATAAATAAGAATTAAAAGTTCAGATTTTCACCAAATTATATATTATGACATGACGATTGTTTCGACAATACTGTGTCTTTATCAAATGTGCATTTGATAAAGATACACATTTCATAAAAACACGGTGTTGTCGAAACAATTGTCATGTCCTAATATATAATTTCGTGAAAATCTGAACTTTTAGTTCTTATTTATTTTGCTTTTAGAATTACGATGCCGGGATTTGATTATAGAGATTTTAGAGCTATGCGTTCAGGATTTCAAATATTGGAATTAGGAGGTTTTGTATTTTTAAGGATTTTTTCAAATCGAATTTCATTAGCTGTTTGAGATGGCAGTTTGTTTATGATAGACTTGACATTCAAAATGATTTCCTCTTTTGCGATAATACGTGGGGCAAGGACGAAGTTTGAACCTCTCTGTAACTCATTTTTCATTATCACAGTGTTTGGTAGTTAAGAAGAGTTTAGCGATTTCACTAATGTTAACGTTTGTTCTTAAAATTTAGGAATGTGATTCTGAGTAGAAGATAAACGAAGAATTTTAGCTTTGTCGTGAATCATGTTTCAAAGGGTATCGAACTAACAGCTGATATTATATTAAACTCTTATCTCATACTCTTGTATTATAGTAAAGCGTTCGACACCTTGTATCACTCCTTTCTTTTAGCTAAACTGAAATACTTTGGTGTAAAATGTACAGCTCTTTCATTTTTCCAAAATTTTGTTTCTCAGAGACACACACCAAAGAGTGGTTAAGGAAATACCTAATCTGATTCATTGCATTTTAGTAATAATCTTCATAATTGTGACAGCATTTCCCGGTGCCTCTCCGGGTGCTATAGTTCAGTTGGCTATCTTTGTTTTTTTACTAATCTAATTGGACTCTAGTATCTATTTACAAATCTTCTGGATTCTTCCTGCGTCGATTGTTGACGAATCGAACTTGCTGACGTTTCAACAAAGGACGCAGGATGAATCCAGAAGATTTGTGAATAATGTTAAAATAGCCTCTGGAAGAGCCTTTCAAAAATTAAAAAGACTGTGTTATACTTGTATGATAAACTATGTAGAGGGAAGTGATAGGTAGACAACGATTGATTCTGGTCATTACTGCCGTTTCACAAATTTAAGAGGCCAAAACCATTGACGTTTTGTAAAAAAATGTCTAATTAGTAATCTAAGTAAACTGAAATTTTCGTGTTTCCAGTAATGATTTGACCGAAATGCTGGGCGAGCTGTTCCTGCCGTGCGATATGCCGGAACCGCCAAAGGAGGGCTTCTTCAAGGGTCTGTTCGGAGGCGGTATCAGATCCTTAGACAGGGAGGAATTATGTGAGTGTATATGGGAACGCCAGAAACTGTCGAACGAGCAAAGAGTTGAAAATTTTGAACGGGTTTCGGCGAGTTTCCGCAGTTCAAATAGAAAAGAACAAATATAATACATTTCACGAAAGTATTGCCCTAGTTAAATTTAAAAAAAAGTACTATTTTTCTATTAAACTGCGGAGAAGTCTAACTGCACTTTGACAAAATCCCAATATCATTAAACTTCCTGCCGCACTATCACGAACAATCAATATTTTGCGAGCACCCAGTATAATAGACGAAAGTTGGGTTACGAGGTGATATTTAATCGCTTTCTGTGCCGTTTATCATGGTTTGTTAGTAACGGTCAATGATTGTCCCTGAAAAGTGTCAATTTTAAATTTCTTGCTCATAACTGGGACACCCTGTAGATTGTCACTAAACTATATCGCGCGTCTTTTGTTTTAATTCAATGTTTTTTTTATCTGAAGTATCATTTTCGAGAATGGTTTTTTCAGTCTTAAAAAAAGTTCTAAAGTTTTTGAAAAATGTTCCGCTCATTATCTCGAAATTTGGGGTGGTTACTTAGTTTCATAGCGACTTTCGGATCAAAAACCATTAATAGCCGACAAAATAACCGCCGACCGTTCCAACGTTATCAGGCTTCAAAAACTTCCCAATGTTCCGTCACGGACAACAGAGAACAGGGAGCAGAAAAAAAAACTTTTTTTTCCGGGGCTAAATCGAACTGTATCAAAGTATTTTACGGGGATTGTTTTGTAGCGTGTTAAAATTTGGCTTCAAACAAAGCCAATGGTAGAGTACACTAATACACCTGATACCTTCGTTTTAAGCATCAGTTTTAAATATTTACTTTACGAGGGACTTACAGGCGTTTCAGATTTTCACAAATAATATATTTTTGAATTTAAAGCTTCTTATTAACAAAAATGTTTGGTAAAACCTCGAAGGTAAACTTTGTGAAGTTCAGACGTCAAGCTATTTAAATAATGTATATTATTTGCATATTATTGTAAGTGACATGTTACCGCGGAGTGTTTTGGAGTTTAAGACGCTAAAATGCGGAACAAATTCATTTAAAAATCAGATATTGAATTTCAAGAAAAAAACTCGCACATATCCATATCCATTTTCTTGCGCATACAAGGGTGGGTTAAAAAGTAGATGTCGATATCACATTCCTTTTTTTTAAAATGGAACATCATTTTTTAAACCCATTTTCGATTTTTACGTCAAACTTCAAAGCTCGAATTTATATAATATAGTCCTACTTTTGTAAGCAAAAGAATAAAAAAACAAAATTTAATTTGAAAATGAACAGGTACATTTCTGTCAGTAAAGATAGTCAATATGGCACAATTCAGAGAATGAAAACGTTTTCTTTTGCGTCTTTCTCTAGCAGTCTTTGTTATAGTGTGACAAATCAAAATGGGTCGGATTTTAAAATTTTATTCAATCAGAATATTTTAATTTCAGGCTACTTTTCTTTATAACGTTCTGTAGTACCTATGTCTGTTGATCACAAGAGAAAATCATCGTTAGCCAAGTATCTTCAAATATGGTATAGAGGTTTTGATGATGAATATAAACAATTTTTTCTTAAAATATACTCTATTATTAAATAGGTTGTTCGTTAACTGAAATGATGCAAGAAATTAGTCTTTTAACCGAGCGGAATTAAACCCTACGAATTTAATTCAATTTTTTTCCTCTTGCAAATTGTTAACAGGGCGTCTTATACTTATATCAAATTGGAAGTTAGTGAAACACAACATTTATTGATTTTAAGTTGCTTTCCATATCAGGGACCCACTGTATGTAAAATTTTTAGTAAAAATTCGTTAACAACGTTTTATCAAACCGGAACAAATAATTAAACTTATTTATTTTCAAGCCAATATTGTTTGAGTTTACCTATACTTCGATCCACTGTACGTCGCTACAAATTTTTGCCATTGTCAAACGCCCTTGAGTATTTCAAACTCCTCTGCAACAGCCTCTCTTTCAGTCGGATTCGAGCTGCTATACTATCACCATTCTCATCATCGTCCCTTACACCTCGTGGAAAAAAAACCCATATTGATATAAAAATCGCAAAAAATTCTGTTTGTTTAATATTTATTTATGTATATTTACTCGAAACCACTTGGACTCGGCCGTACACGATCCGACACGTCCTTTCCGACACTTTGCCCAAATGCCGCTTCGTGGCGTACAGCAAAATGGCGGGGACGCTCGGCAATTAACCGTTAACGTCGTTTATAGTCGGCGAGTCGAGCGGCAAAGCAAACAAGTCGATCGCGAAGCATATCCCCGGCGCCAATCTGCAAGACCTGGGTCAGAGGAGTTCGAGCGCGTGCAGCGAGGTCAACAGAGCCCACAAGCTCATGCTGGAAAGAGGCGAGAAGCTCACGCAGTTGGAGGAGCGTGCGGAAAGGATGCGAAACGAGGCGGAAAACTTCAGCGGGTCAGCCCACGAGCTGATGCTGAAGTATAAAGACAAGAAATGGTACCAGTTATGAAGCGTTTGTACCTAACGAGAGACCACCCATCCCCGTTTACTATGTGATATATATAATGTGCAGAATACAATAGCAAAGGAAAGCAATGGGAGCGGAACTATATAAATATATAAATACAGTTTAGGCGTTACAGTAGGGTTTCAGACACTGCAGACGTTTCTACCGTTTTCTACTCGAGCATGCGTTGTCAGCTTACGGGCGTAGCAATGGCGCCCGGATAACATAATTTCCGTCAATTTCGCAAGGTTGTATTTTCTTTCGCCACGTCGTATAGTTTTCCGGCATTGATACTGAGCGACCCACGGTTGAACGTAGCATTTTCTGTATAAAATAAAACGGCGTAAATTTTAATTAAGCGCAAAGAAATGGCGCGAGACAAAAAATTGAGCTTTCAAATCGCTTAACGAGAAAAATCAGTGACGGTCACTATACACTATAAGAAGCCCTTGTGGCGTGGATAATAAAAAGAGGATCGTGTGTAAAAACTTTAGCACCTGTATTTTGAAAAGTCGCATATCCGACCAAAACGAAAAAATCTTATTTTTACCGATTGAACCGCCTATTAACTGGAATCGCAACCGCGTGATTTGAAAGTGGGGCAAATTTTACAACAGGAGAGGCCGGGTAAATGAGAGAATGGGTTTTGCTGATATACGGAAAATTTTTCAATTGTTAACTTTACTAAAAATTTCTTGCTTGCTGAGAAAGTAAATTTGCTGGACATGCTTTGGCTATATTAACAACTCAATAAAAACGCAGTTTTGGGATGGATAATTGAATATTGTAATTGCAATGCAAAACTTCTAATTTGACAATAACCAGCTAAACTCTTTTTTTGCATCCAATGGATTACCCTTCTAGACAACTCTTAGACAGCATTTCTGATCATATCAGAAGAAATTTGTCGGATATAATTTCTTTCAGGTGATCAATACCACTAATGGTGTATGCTTGTCCACTAATTCCTTCAAATGACGGCACTAGAAAAAAAATCTATGGCTGTAATGTTCAGTCATTTATTTGACCAGGGTAGATAGGTGGGGAGATAACGAGATATGGTTTTCACTGGTGCGTTAGGCCCTCACTCATATGTTTTCATAAAATATAACACTTATTCTGTCTATGGCAATTATAAGCAATAATTATAATATGATATTTCATGTAACCAGTTCTGGTATAAAGTTTTATGCAATTACTGCACCTTTTCTTGTGTTTCGCCTTGCTAAAACTTACGAAAACAACTCTTCGTTTTGGTGACGGCTCGGGAATTGACGGTCTACCAATCTTTTTTCTTACCAAACTGCGTGTGCAATTTGACACCTGAATACTGTCGGTCTTTTATACTTAGTGTGCCGACGATAGAGAAGTTACGCATTTATTATGCATTTATTAACATGGACAGACTTCTTTTTTCAAGTTTTCATCGTACATTGCATTCTACAGACCTATATCCTTCAAGTGACATAAGAGATCGCATGAAATGAACCAATTGTCATAAAACGGTTTACAATTGAGTCCAAATATCGTAGTCGTATAACAATATCGCCACTTATGTGTTCGTAGACAGAGCAGATTTATTCCTGCTCCAGCAAACATTTTTATGCCCCATTTATGACATACTGGTTCAACCACCTTCAATTTTAGAAATTTTTTTCTAACAAGGCCCTCACTTTGAATAACATCATAATTTTCATCCTTCCTGACTTTCATTTTAGTATTGTTATTAAGATGTAAATAATTTCGGAGTTTGTCAAACCTGTTACTTGACATATCTTGTAACTAGGCATTCTGTCAATCTCACGATTTACCTCTAATCCTATTTGAATTCTGAGCAATATTTGCCGTTCATCTGTACCAATTGATTTTGAATCTAACATGTATGGAAGTTCTGCCTCTTGATGATCTTCATCAGAACTTTTTTCTCCTATATCTATGCCAGATATGTCTCCTTGTAATAATAGAAGCATTTTCTTTTCTTCTTGCACCGTTAAAAAAGTTGTATCTGTTTATATTTTCATTTTCTGTATGTGCTACACAAACGTAATGTGCAAAAAAAGAGGCCGGGAAGAACACTGACACAAGACACAAGACACTTGACTTTACTGCGCCGATATTACACAAACTCATATATACACATACATAAGAAAATACAAAATATGGGACGCATTTCTAATCTACCGCAAAAAGCTCTTCATATCTTAGAAATGCGAATAATCAACAAGCCTGAAGGAAATATGACATTTGTATAAAAACGTGGGAAAATAATGCTCCAATAAATACTAGTGCCGCCATCTATGCTATTTAACCGAAACCTGCGTGTGACCGCATCGACGTTGACAGAGATCTGCAAATTGAATTAGGTTATGCGTACCCCATGTGGCATCATTGGGTTGGGAAGGGAAGATGTAGAACAAAAAAAAACATTTCCCATTACTACCCTAAATAAAATTTGCCTTACCAAATCCGTTCGATACCTTGGGTCGCCCTGTAAGCTTAGTGTCAGAAATGAGAATCGCATCTGTAAATACAGAACAACGGGCAACACACCTAAATTAGACCCGTGTAAATATGTTACTATATTATACAAGAAAAACACAAGCGTAGCTTAGAGGTTGTGTCGACCCCTATACCTTCTACTTTAGAGTGAATATGTTTCAGTATCCCCAATCGACAATAAGTATATAAAAAAAGTACTTAAAAATAAGTTGCGCTACATTTGCTTCATTTTGAATTCAGTTCCGTTCGATAAACGGAGAAAATGCGAGTACCTATTCATTTTTCCCCTACCACCGAACATATCGAAATTTTTTTTAACAGTTTTTGTAACGGATAAGTCAGAGGTTCCGACTTAAATCAGGGTTGCTGAAAAACAAATTAGAAGTCAGTCAGACACGGCCAGAGAGAAAGTCGCGTGCCTCGCATTTTCTTTAGGTCATAGCAGGTCTTCCTTCTTTATCGCAAGGGCCAAAATAAGACGTGTAATTATTACTCCTCGTTTGAGTTTGGGCTTTTGTGTGTAGTGTCCTGTATAAACCGAATCATTAGGCGTTTACCAATAGGTTTGTACGAGACTTTGCATAACGCTCATCACCTATAGCGTCTACCTTGCTGTCGTTTCAGGGTATGAACTTTCGTTGCGTACCTCGTATTATACAGGGTGTTATCTAATAACTGTCCAATATTTGAAGTGTTTTAAGGTCAAATTGACTATAATAAACCTTACTTTATATTATTAATTTTTGGTTTATACAGGCCCCAATTCTTCGGTATAAGCATCAAATTTTGAACACCTTACTAATTGCAAACTATAGCTTACGATAATTTCAATCTTTGTTCAAGATATTTCGAATATTCTATCATTGTTATATTTGTAGTTGGGTATCCATTGCTCTTAATTAATTTCAAACACCTTAGACGTCTGCAGGTTAACAGTTATGCACAGATTTTCTATTGAATCAATTTCTGGGCTACAAGATGGCAACTGCAGTGCCCGTTTTGCTTGCTTGGGAATTTCCAAAGTACTGAAAAATTTCTTCTAGATATATATGTTAATGTGTTCCATACTGTTCCATGGTACCAGTTATTCTGGAAAGTGGACCAGGAGGAACACTATTTTCATATTGTCGATATTATTTGTTATTATTTATTATCATTATTATTTTTACATAGAATAACAAGATTTAAGCTTTCTTCCTTTGAATTCCTATGTGAAACCATGCTAAATTGTATTTTGAATTTAAACTTTTCACTTTACTTTTTGAACAATAATTACTGTGAATTATTTAATAATTACAACGGCATTTTAGGCGTCCTTGATTGGGAGCTGTACTAACCAAAATAATAGTAATCGAGTTCCCCAGCAAAAATTATTTTTTGTCAGCAGTAGCAGAGTTCCAGGCAAAAAAATATATAGCAAATGGCTACTGCAGAATATTCGATAACAAAGTATCTATATTCCATTTTTATATGAAAAATAAAATTTTCCCATTAGTTATTCATAATAAAAATATTTGTTTAAATTTGTAGTGTTATAGCTTTTTGTATTAGATAAACATTTTTAATTTAGTTTTTCCAGGAAAGTGTGTTACATTATTTTTAAAGCAGAATGCGGAAAAAGATGATGAAAAGTCAAATGATACCGCATTCACTGTATATAGGTATATAAGGTATCTTATGCTTGTTCTACTTATAGGTATAACATACAGGGTGTGCCATTAAGATGTTGGTGTTTACAAATCTCGAAACGCATACAGTAAAAAAAAATTGAAAATTCGTTAAACCCAAGTCTTGTGTGCATTGTTTTTGTGTAGGGCACAACATTTTAAATTTACATTTAGGAGGTTTAAAAATTAAAGATAGCTTAAAAATAATACGCAAAAATCAATTATCATTTAACTGTATTTGAATAATTGTAGCAAAAGGTAAAATATATAGAGTGTACAAAAAAATAAAAGCTAAATGAGTATTTTCACCAAACTTTATTTCTACAAATGATGTAACATTTTAGTGAAGCGTATGACCACCTAAATTGTTAATAACGGCTCTCCTGCTTCTCTGAACTCTAAATTAAATGAATTTGTTGCTCTAAACAATTTAGCAACTCATTTCTTCTTTGATATACTAAATTTTGTGCTGATACACGCGTCTGAACCAATATCCCGCGCGTGCTCAATGAAATTTAGGTCCGGCGATTACACAGGCCATGGTAAAACGTCGATATACGATAGATATTGATTTTCTGATAAAAACCTTGTCAACAGAAACGAGCTGAATACTATTTCCTAAACTGATACCAAACCATACTTTAGGTTTTACCCAAAGTCTTTCTTCTCGAGTCTGAGCTCAACCTAGATCTAGATTCGTCCGTAAAGAGAACACGCCATCAAACTTCGACATCCCATTTTAAGTGTTGCCGGACCTATTCTAAACGCCTATCTCTATTTCCTCTGGAAAGCACAGACACCCGACCCTCTCACATGAAGTCCATAGTCGTATGGGCTACTTCGTTTATTTTGGCCACCTACGGCCACATGATTCATTCATTCTTATCTGGTTGTATCGTAATATGGTTGATATAAGCTACTAATTGCACTTTTGGAACTATTGGCAGCCTATGCTGTGCTGTGGCAGCATAGCAATAGTTCGTAGACGTGTATCGTAGTCAGGATTGTGACGATCCATGTTATTATATAACATTTACACAAAGTCGATCACTTAACACGTCTAAACACACTGATCAAGGCAGAACAATAGTTTGGACATTTTACACATTTTAAGACTGAAAAGGAATGTTCGAAACAACAAAAAAACAAAAAAAGTAATTTGCGTTTTTGTTAATAACATCCTTCCAAAGTAAAAATAGTTTTTAGGCCTGTCCCCTATTTAAGGGGGCTTTCCTTAATAACCTTAAATATTGCCTTAACCGGGCTAAAAAAAAAAGAATTGGGACGCGCTGTATAATCCAAAAGGGTATAATCTAAAAACTCCCTCAAATACAAAAAACTTTTGTATTTCAAATTTATTGATTTGGTATCAATGGATCGCAGACCCAGTGTGCTATCAACTTAAAATTTAAAAACTCCCTACTAGCTAACAAGGTGTGTAAAAATTTTCTACTAATAGGGTATCAATGGCACATATATATATATATATATATATATATATATATATATATATATATATATATATATATATATATATATATATATATATATATATATATATATATATATATATATATATATATATATATATATATATATATATACTAGTGTTTATATTTTCATAATTTCCACTTCAGGTATGGAACATAAATGCCTGTTAACCTTCGGCAGCCTGGGCAAGGATAATTGAATATCTTTTGAGGTTTTTTTCAGGCCTTTCCAACACATGTTGAAGAGATGAAGAAGTGTAGTGAAATATCTGTAATTTCCATAATTCCATCAATTTCGGTGGCTTTTCTATTCGGTGCAGCTTTCAGTGAGCTCGCCTGAATTTATTACATCTAATCCAATAATCCAGTTTTCACTAGTAGTAGTTTGCACTGGGAACTTAGTTTAAAGCAATCTTCTCATCATTCTTTATACATTCATCTTCTTCTATTGTGTTTATTTAATATTTTCATTACTTTTACAGGTATTTGTTGTGTTTTATATCAACTCCAAGATTTTTCATGCTTGTCTGGTTAAACTTTTTGCCTCATTCCTAGTTTGGCGATAGTTTTCCTCAAGCTTTTGTTCAATGTTGTTTGTTAGGTACTTATTAAAGGCCTACTGCTTTTATTTCTGTTTTTGATACCTTGTTTTCTTGGCTACTTTGTTTACAACATTTCTCCAATCTTTATATATATCATCTATTGTTTCCGCTGTTGATTCATTCTTCTTTGGTATAAGTTTTTCACAGTCACTTTCTGATATAAACTTCTTGTCTATTTCGGATATCTCCAGCAATTGGTGGTATATGATGAGTCCGATTTGGCCAGCTAGCTTTTGTCATTGAATAGTCTATGATAGCTATTGAGGTATACTTGTGGGTATATCTTTCTTTCTCTATTTTCACTTTTAATATTTGCCAGTAATTAGAATTATCTTGTTGCACAATTAAATAAATAAATACAGGATGTCAAACGTTTATTTGTATTTTTATTTGGTGCCTGGATGTTAAATTATACAGAAAAACAAAAATGAAAATAAAACTTTGATACTTGTACCTTTAATCTTGAATAGTTACCCTAAAAATACTTGAAAAATCACCCCGTGATATATCGGATGCCTATTAAATAACACCCTGTAGATCGCAATAGGAAACCGACTTTGTAAATATAAGTGAAGGACATAACTACTTGGGTATTCTTCCTCTTTGAAATGTTTGTTTATTTTTAAATGCCGTATTTTTATCACCTGTTGAAATTTGTTCGTTGTATATTTTATCGTTTCCGTTGTGTTTTAGATATCGCCGCGGGGTGGTGGGTTGTTATCCGACGTTTCACCACACCTAGAGATAGTTTTTTAAAAGTATATTGTAACATTGGATGCGCAATTTAATCGCGTGAAAGAAAGAGACATTGGACGAATCGTCGGACAGCGACTCAGCCTCTGCCGCTAGGTTTAAGTGAATTGTGTTTTTCTGTACAGTTCAAATTGAATTGATGGTCGTAGTGAGCCATTCATATATTAACTGTTCCAAAAATAAATAAAACGGATTGTTTGTACAATACTTTCGTTTTATTTTAGCAGAGTCCCAGCGCATGCACCAAACATTGGCGAATTTAATGTACAGTAATAGTAGTAATAATAATTAGCTTTATTGCATTAACCATTAATAACAACATTGACAAAATTAAATGCTGGATTGAATTTGGCAGCAAAAGGCTAAGAAAATCAGACGTCTGGTACAGCCAATTATTGTTAATGCTCACAATTTGGCACTAAATTAACTACAGCAAGTATCTAAGTAAACGTATGGTCTTGCTCACCCAAAATGCAACTTAACTTTCAGTGCCAATAGCGTCATTTCGGATGTTGTGGCGCAGCAAGACGATCCCGTAGGTGGTTTGAACTCTAGATATGATTTTGGAATCGAGAAATGTAAAGCTTGCGCAATCCATCCATGGACTATTTTTTTAAATTTAGGTGTGGAGTACTTTTGGAATCCAAGTATGGATTTGGTTCGGAGCAAACATACAAATTTCTTAAAAATTAGTTCTTATTTATTTTGATAAATGGATTTTCATCAAGTAAAAGCCACCTCAGTTCCATACACATTTCTTTTCAAATCCAAAAGGTCTTGTAAGAAACATCGAAGAAATAAATATTTAGATAGTAAAATATTTGAACCATACTGGCAATAATTAATGTATTCTTAATACAACCGCGTGTGATTGTTATTTCAAAATATCATCACTGGAGATTTATTAGGATTAAGTATGAACTTCAGTGAGAAAATCATAAAAAATCTATTCAAATTAGAATTAATGCTGTTGGTTGCTTTGTTCAGTCGTGTCTAAAAAAAAGTACAATTAAGTGACACCGGCATCCTCCCTTGTTAAAAGCCAAAGGCCTCAAGTAAAGTCAAGGCAACAATTTTACTATAATCTGTCACATCCTCAGGTGTGCTTTGACAACCATAATCATATCTAAAACCCGATTGTTTTGAGGGTAAAATACTATAAATATTTTGAAATGCTCTTATCTGCTTATTTACTTCAGAATCTAAGAGAGAGTAGGCAAAGTAATAATAGAACGCAAATTATCAAATTCTGTAGGTTTTTTTATATTGTAGTCAATGGTATGACTTGTGCTCGTTTCCCTAGTACTGGAAAATATAAGGAAAAAATAAATTAATTAATATGTGGACAATACAGTTAGTTTCAAGTTAAGTTTAAGTAGCTAAAAGTAAACTATTTAACAATTCCATCAATAACCTTATTTTTTAGACAAGTTTAGAAGTACAGGTTCAATCGGTTCTAATTTTGGTTATCCAAATTGTGGGATATTGGTGGATGCGCACTAGAGAATGGCTGCGATCTAGCTTTCCAGCGGCAGCATAGTTGTTGATTGGTTGTGACGTTGAACAATTGCGACACATAGAGCCGGTCTTTAAAATTGTAGGTTATACTTTTTGACTGCTTCTGTTTTCAGCGGTGCAGCAATATTTTGGTTAAATTTTGTCTAACCAAACATTATCTATTAATATTATGGCTTTGCGTTTTAGGATTTGGTGTTTTAAATTAGCATTTAAAATTCAAAACCCTGTTGAAATGATACAAATAATTTCGTGATAAATGGAAATAATATTGTGCTGCAAAACTTGGATAGCAGGTTATAGACCTCAGTAACGGGATTTTAGCAGGTACGTTGCAAAACACAGAGCTCTTATTCACATATTAGAAGAAATATCCTGTAACAAAAATGTCAAAAAAAATATTTGCCAAAAATCAAATATTCTAGCGGATGTTTCCAACCAAAGGCGTTTTAATAAAACAAATATCTTACAAAAAACCGTCAAAAAATACAAAAAAGTGAAATTGCCATCCCCTCCACCGAAATGTAGCTACAATTTTGGCAGAGCCGCTGATACTTATTACCCACCCACCCACCGAAACTTAGCGTGAAACTCGCGCCCTTATAATTGGTCGCTGGATGTACTTGCCAGCAGATCCACCAGAACGTAGGCGAAACTTTGGTGGACGGGGCCAATTAGAAAAATATTGAATTTCTAGATTTAGTTAGGCGGTTGCAAGAACGGTTCCGCCGAAACGTAGATGAAAGCGGTCGTACAAGCCGTTGAATGCAATTGCCCAGCGCACCCACCAAAATGTAGACTTTCTTAGGAAAAAAGTAACTATTCAGTCAACATTTATCCGGATTTGCCAACTAAATCAAACTACTCGATGAATGTGCAACAAGCCTGATTCTATTTGGTCTAGTTTGGGTATGCGTGTGACGGTAAGGTTTCCTTTTTTTGAATGAGTAGGGAACCGCTCAATCTTTAAAAAAACGTTTTAAGTTCTAATCGGTGTATAGAGTAAGGATACCCCATATATGCGAAGGGCCCATATAAGTATGAGTTTATGTAACTCATTTTTTCTTTTCGTCTTTCATCCTTTTTATAATTGTTTAACTGCACCTAAAACTGCAATCAATCGAGGTTACTTCCTCCATTGTTAGCAGTTTTGTGTTCATAGTCTTTGTTATCCGGGTTGATTGTTCTTCGATTGACGTCCACGACTATTTCAGAATAGACTTCAACATCCCATGGTCTTTAATTAGGAAAAACGTTTGTCTCTGTACATCAACTGCCGTTCGTTTCACTCTCTGATGTGTCAGCGAAGAACGCGTTAGGTTTTAGGCCAAGTGATAACAGCATTAGATTATTCTGACCATGCCGGACGTATAATCCAAATTCAAACTTATTGGTTAAACTCCATTGAGGCTTATACACGTCGAGCACTCATTTATGCTAGTGCTAGTGCTATCCTGTGCCCCTAATTGACCACAGTGGCACCAAAATTGTCTGTTCTAGTCGAAGTCCCTAGACCCAGGGGACCCATTCACCCTATGCTTTTGAAAATCATGGTTCTTGGGAGAAGCAAGAGCCCCGCCTCATCGTCGATCTACTACTAACTAACCATAGCGGTCCTTGTCGTGCATGGTGGTTCTGGAGATAAACTTTTGCTACTGAAGGATCTAGCTTCTTTTCCCCTAATTCACGTTCGTCATAATGGTGAAGACACGAGAACGGCCATTTCATCATCAGCGATTCGCCGCCTGGTTTAATTTTGGTTAGTTTTTTGGTGACTTTTGAGTGACATTGGAACTCAATAAATAAAATTACATATGTTGTTTTTAATTTTTTTATTATAACCTAGTCAGACTGATTTTGGCATTGACATAATGAACAAAACTTTTAATGCTAAAAATACGAAACCTAAATTTTACGAAAAGTTTTGAGGCTGCTTCACGTGGAACTCAATATCGGATTCGAGTTCGTTTTCTGATAACGAGAGGGAGCCGCCCGCTCGCCTCAGACCCCGCAACTGTTCACCATTTTCCTGCTTGGAGAAAAAGTAAAATTTTAACGATGATCCACTACGTATTCGCAAACGTGTACGGAAAGTGAAAAGATGGGGTGCGATGAAAAGCGTGACTAAAGCGAATCTGAGAAGCGTAAAAAATAGTAGTAGCATTACCGGCCACAAAATATTCTAAAAGGTTAGAGTTCACAAATTCTATCGCCATGCCAGCTGAACTGTCGCTCGTACAACTAAGGAGAGAAAAGAAAGTGACAGAAAAGAGAAGAGAAAACGCGCTACCACTACGCTACCTTGGAAAAACCACCGGTGGGCTCGGACGCGTAACCTCCTCTGCCCTCGTCGTCGTCATCTTCTTCTGAAGAACTGGAAGCGGACGATTCCCCTTCGTAGGGCCTATGACCGATACAAGGAAAAGTAGAGACTATTTTGTCAGTCTCTTTTAGAACTAGAGCTTTGAACCTACTCACAGTTAAGGTTCACCTTTGAAAACGCCAGAGTATCATTTTGTTATTGAAGCATCAAAATTACAGATTTCTGGTGAATAATTTTGTCAGGATTTGTAGCTAAACATCTACTGGATTCCTAATGCGTTGGTTGTTGTGATGTAATACACGATTACAATAACAATCAGAAGGTTGCAGTTCAAAAACTTGCTGCATTTGCATACAGTGTATGAAAATATTGTCCAAAAATACTTGCTTGAAATAAAATCCTGTGCTATAGGTTATGCTCAACTAAAATGTATATGATAATATTAACCACATCTTACCGTACCTTACCGATATAATTTTTTCCCGGATCAGCGGAATATTGGAAAGGTTTTTCCATGGCTAAAGAAAAATAATATGTATAGTCAGATAAGGGAACACTTAGATGTCTATAAGCTACTTCCAGAAACTCAGTCAGAATTCTCAACACTATGAAAGGGATGGATGGATAATAAGTGTACTGCACTTACCCGACTGAATTTCTACAATTTCTACAATTGAAGTACATTATGAACAACCTCCACCGCAAGAACGTTTGGGCCATCATGACAAACTTCGATTTCCGAAATAGACTAATTAATCTAATGGAGATGTGCGTTCAAGAATCCAAGACACAAAGGAACAAGTCAGAAACCTTCAATATTAATTCATAATTTTTTAACGCAGCTCTAGAATATGTGATGATATAGATGAAGGTGTAGAAATAGGCAAGAAGGAGATCATGTGCGACACGAATGAAGGACTTATAAGACTCCCTACGCCAAGAGAAGAGGGAGGTAAGAGAAAACTAAATATATCAAATTAGAGCGAAGAGACGTGACAACAGGTCTTTCGAGATAAATAAAACAAAAGATGTCAGTTAGGCAATACAGTGCCATGCACAGAGTGGAAACAAAGTAATAGCTACCCTAAGCAATTTAATTCCACCCCGCCATCTACCAAGAAAAGTAAAACTGAAGATATACAATACAATAGCGATTTCGGTGGCCTTGTATGGGTCAGAGGCGTGGGCCATGACTCTTGGAGAACAAAAAAGACTACTCTCCTTCGCGAATAAAGTTCTAAGGAAAGGAAAGTATTAATGCAGAAAAATAAATACAGCATTCCATGCATATGCGGCAAACAATACATTGGAGAGAGGCAAATAACTTCACCAGCAGTAGCCGAACAAAATCACGGGACCGGGCATAAAATATTATTCGATAAAACTCGACGAAAAATTCGAGAACCTATAGAATCTATAAGCAACCAAAAAATTTTAACCGCGACATATGGGAGACAATGTTCATGCCCCTCCCTCCTCTAGCCAACCCACACAGAAGGAATCCAGAAATTTTGTTACGGATTTTCCGATTAAAATGAGAAAGTCTATAGTTTTCGGATTTTAAGATGACCTTTGTTCGTAAATTTGTCCGTGTGTGTACTTTCCTGGGCTTAGTTAGGAATCTGTAATTTTGATGGGGATCAAGAAGCACAAAAAAAGTATTCGTTTAAAATGAAATTCCGTGCAGAGAGGAAAAACTCACCTAGCGACTTTGCACACCATCTGCGCCAAATCCGTGAACGTGTACTGGGACATGGGCCCGTCCTCGCCCAACTGCGATTTGTATACCTGCGAGGTTTTAAAAGTGGGCAGGTTGCCGGCCCTGCTCTGCCCGTCGAAGTACGCTTTGCCGTGCTGGTACCCCACCTCGCGGATGTCGTCGAAACTACCAAATTGCAAGGTCTTGTAGTTGTCGATGGGCGGTCGGATGTATTCGCAATAGTCGCTGTTTTTCACCTCCTGCAACACGAAAGCAGGGATTTCAGACCTTGTCTTATACATAGGGTGTCTCGAAATTAGTGAGCCAAACTATAACAACATATCCTACGTCTAAAATAAGCCTTGGTTTCTATATAAACATGACGAGAAGCGCCCCCCTCTAACGCTAGCACTAAATTGTTATATAACCTTTTTTTTGAGACAGCTTAGAATATAAATGTAGACGTAGATCGTTTTGTCGAGATCTTAGGGACAAGAAAGGCCTATGGGACATTATGATTATTAAAAAGCGCTAAAAAGAATAGATCAAATTTAATTAGGACCCTTCGCAGATATTACCTATAAGAAATCGCAACAACGAATTCCTTGAATATGACTTTACTAAGCGGCAAACGGATAGAAGTGGAATGTGATGATATCCGCGCCATCTAGGAAGAAGCATAAAAAGTACTGGATAAATAATGCCACATCCTAAGACTCAAACTGCTGTTTTACACCTCAGAAAACTGGGATCAACTTAAGTCCGTTGCAGAGCGAAATTTTAGCAATATTAGCAAGTAATTTATACAACACTAAGACAAAATTTTTTCCTTTTACATCTTACTCTAATACTGAAACACAGTGAAACCGTCAAACTGGAATAAAATAATGAAATTCTAAAGACTGACTTTACAAAATATCTAGGGTGGGACAAATATATTAAAACATTTGCCAAATAAAACAAGATTTCTAGTCATATTTTACCACTCCCTCTCTGACTTCCAAATGACGATATATTGGTTTGGGGAGGAGTAAGAAATTGTTATTTGAAAGAAGTAAACGTTTTGCAAAAGCTTTGTTTGATACACAATCTGTTAATTTTATAAGTGTAAACTAAATTACAAAATTATAGTTAGAAAATTAGAAAAACAGATGGTAAGCTCTCAGATTGTTCATCCAACAAATTTGAGGTGTATATAACTATAAATTTAAAGTTTAGTATATATCTATAAATGTATAGTTATAAAATTAACAGATGCTAAGCTATCAGATTGTTCATGAAACAAATCTGTCATTGTGGGTCATAGTAGAGGTAAGGATAACCTTTCCTTTTGCTCTTGATATAGTTTGTTAGATTATCAGACATAAATTTCACGCACCTCCAACTGTCTAACGCAGCTGACGTAGGCCAATCGCGACTGAATGTCCGGCAAGTCCGGAACCTTGACGGTCTTCGTAAACGGGTTCCAGCGTTTCCACAGCAACCACCAGCCGGACAAATCGTCGCCGTAGTTCGTGAGGTCGTGATCATCCACAGACCCGACGTCTATGGCCAAGATGTGATCGGCGCCCATACTCCTCATCACGTCGGCTACAACGCGGTGGAGGTGGTTATTAAAATATACTAACGCAATCGCAACACATTTTGCTCAACTTACGTCAACAAACGTGTTTCAAATTAGTCTTAAAGTAATAATAAATGCTTACCAAGCTTGGGCTTGGACTAACCAAAACTAAAACGAAGGCAAATAAAAACTGTTCAGAAATTTGAGCTGTAAATGAGCTTTTTAAAATAGAGGCGCTGGAGGGCTTTGGTTAGTTTTTACTACTAACTAAATATCCACCATGCTCGGTTTCTTAATGGGACAGCATTGTACTTATGGTGCTTGCCATTCGTCAAGAAAGTAGAAGGGAAACGGACAAGCAGTGCCTTAGTGTTCAGAATTACAGTTACTGTTCGGCAGTTATTGGCAATTGGTAGTGTTTTTAGAAGATGACGGAATTTCAGAAAGGTATGCTGAAAATGGAGGATTGCAAAGAATTGTAAACTTGAATGAGGTTCAGTGGTACGAAATGGGGGGTACTTCCGCCCTATCAATGTGAATCAAACCCCATAGGATTAATATGCGCAGAAGTAAAATGGTTTGTGGCAAGGTACGACACCACTTTTAAAGGTTCAAAACAATCTTGCAAGACAGCGGATTGTACAAAATGGAGTAATTAAAATACTACAGATCGATACAGGGCCGAAAAAAAAACGTTTTTTATTTTTTCTGTTCTCTGTTCTCCGTAACGGACTTCGGAAAGTTTCTGAAGCCGCATAACGTTAGAACGTTAGTTGGGACTACCGGATTCAAATTTTCCTCTATGCTAACGCTAAGCGATGCGCGGCCGATCAGACATCTACAGTTATTTCGTCGGCTATTAGTGATTTTTGCTGGGAAAAGTGGCAATGAAACAAAATAAATATCCGAAAGTTCGAGCTATCGAGGTGAAATTTGGTGAAATCCCGAGATGGTACCTATCGAAACTGAGCAGAATCGGAAGTCCCAAGTGTTTTTTAAAAGATTTTGAAAAATTCTTTTCGTTACCAAAAGAACATTATTTTCTCGAAAATGTCCGTTCGAAAAAAATTCTTGCACAAGAGATTCGGGGATATAACTCAAAAATACAATTTTGGCAAAAAATGTACAGGGTGTCCCAGTTATGGGACAAAAAACTGAAAATTGCCATATATGTAGTAATGCTACTGTCATTCAAAATTAGAAACGAAATATGCACGTTTAGTGAAACTTGTCAAGTTCTTGTATACGATTGATCAATCTTGAGGCAACGAAAACTGTCCGACGCTCTACACAGATTCAGAGCTTCAGCTTACAAAAATAGGGACATAAATTTTAGCCCTTCGTTTATACGATAAAAGTAACAAGAAAATTAGAAAATTAATTTCATTCAAAAACCTAACCGTTATTATTTTACAAACGAACTATGTCTATTTACTGATCAACGTATACGTTCCAAAATTAGTAATAGAAATTGAAGCCAAAAGGAAAGTTGCGGCTCATTTGTATTTGACGTTTGCGACCCTAATCTGATTTCCGCAGACTCGAATTGCTGTAAAAATCCATCAAAACGGCGGGAACTTACCTTTCAACATTCAGCGAAGAGATAAAACAAAAAATTTTCAAGTCTTTTCGCATATAAAATCAGAGAAAACGGGAACATCTCACCTGGCACGTTATTTATATAACATCCGTCGACTAACATGTGACCGTCAACCGGGTCACACAACGGAGGAAAAATGCCTACAATCGACATGGATGCCCTCACATATCTCCACAGAGAACCTGCCGACGCAACTAGCCTTTTAAAATTTGCACTTGCGACCAACAAACAAAGTTAAACAAAAAAAAAAACAACAACAAAACCGTTCGACCTCGAAAATTAAGCGGTTTGTGATTGGTTTACCAAACGGTTAGTTAGTAAAAAAAAGGAAAATATTACGAAGCACAAACCGATCGGGATGATGTCGTAGAAGATATGCTATGCTACCGACTTACCTTTTCAACGCGCGGAAAAGACATTTCACTACATTACTTACCTCTAAATCAATTGAAGGCACTTTTATGCAGAAAATACAGATCCATATTTACATAAATGAAGGCGAAATTAGGTGTGCAATATTAATAATTTGTAGAGTTAGTATTGAATCTTAACCGGACCCAATTACAAATAAATAAAAACATATAAACAAAATTAAAACAACATATTAAACACTCATTATTCTGTTGGCTTTCTCAAACCTTAGCTGAAACTAGTTTGTATTCTACACTGTATCTGCTTATATACGGTTTGAGGGGGCGGAGCTAAAAGAGGGGCATGGACATTGTCTCTGGTGACTGATTACATTATGGGTAAAAGGTGAAAGGTCATAGCCTTAATGCTCTTTCAGGTTCTTTAAGCTTAGTTTATATTTTTCGTCCCGCCTTTCTTAGCGCATATACATGGAAAGCTGTAAAGTCCTGGTGTATCAAACGGAATTTTGTCTTCGATGGAACGAAGAACTTCTGATACCTGCTCAGTAATGTCATGAATGTAAGGAAGGAATGTAAGGGGCTTGATGTCGAACTAATTTTCTTTGGAAAAAAATTGTGGTTGAGAAAGTTTTACGACGCTGTAAACAAGATGTTAATAACCGATGACTTAGCACAGTGCATGAGGGTATCGGTCTGTGTGCCTGAATGACCCAATGTTAGGTCTGATTTTCTACTAATGGGAGATGACTATTAGTTTCTAACTCAGATCAAGACTGGTCGACCTATTTGTACCACTATATACCATACACCATACCAATTCTTTAATACCGCATGTAAGATTCTACTTAGGGACCTTCAAGATCGACAGATCCTTCAAGAACAGGTAGTTTTGGTGAAGAGCAAAGGCACCAGATTCAGAAAAGAAATGAAGAAAATTTAATATCTCAATGGTCATCTGCTTTTTGGATTACCAAAAGGCATTTGACTGTGTTAACTCGAAAATGCTGTGGAGACTTCTTCGAGAGATGAGAGTGACTGAACACGTAATTGCACTACGTACAATAACAATATGGCCAACTCAGAACAGAAAACATGCTCGGTAGGCATGCATCCTTTCTCCAGATCTTTTGAACATCTATGGAGAATACATAATAAGAAAGTCATTAGACCAATGGTACAAATGTGCATTGCAGGAAATGCAGGAAATATTAGATCCTTGAAATCGTGTGGGGACAGAGAGCAATAAAAAATATAATCCTTGATCCTTTCCATCTTCCCACCTGGGACTGATATGATTAAAGCATCAGACAGAAAAGGATTGATTCATTCAAGATATACTGTGTGCTGGAGGTGCTTGCTTCGAATTCCATGGACGCCTCCCAGGTCGAACGAGTCAATCGAGTCAATCATTACAGAACTGAACATCCGCAAAAAATTCTCTTCTAAATGCCTTGCGAGCATAATGAAGGGCGAACGTCTACATGGCGCTCCCTAACCCGATGGAATGATGTAGCTTCTCGCCAGTATTGCTTTCAGATATAAAGTGTCGTGGACCTTTTTCTTAAAAGTTTCTTACCATGACTGGTGATAATGGAGAACTCTTAGCTCTTCCTGATATTGGTCCATAAATTTGAGAGCTCCAAAAAAAATATGTTCCAGGCAATTAGGATGAGAAGATTCTCGGATTTTAATATATCCGAAATTAGGTTGAGACTCTCTGGAAGTAGAATGCAAACCAGTGTAAGTTAAGCTCTGGTTCGCAACCATTGCAGGAGGAATCCAGAAAATTTGTAAGTAGAATTACAGTAGTTGATAGTTAAGTTTCTTTGGAGAAGTAGCACATTGAACTATTCAAGGGGCCTAATTCTTGAACTCGGGGATCTCTACCTCTTTCTACCCCGCTTTCATGAATTGGGCCCCTGTTAGCACGGGACTACCGGATTGGACACGTTAATTTCGTCTTCGACAGAGTAAACAGACTCCAAAACACCTACACAAAACAGGAAACGTTATCGGAGAGAGCAGTGATGATTCTTTTACCTGGAAGATTGTTGGTGTAGCCACCGTCCAGCAGCAAGTGGCCGTCTTTCGGGTCGCAGAGCGGCGGCATATACCCGGACAGGGACATGGATGCCCTGACGTAGCGCCACAGGGACCCTACGGCACAACAAGGCCAAGCGTCTCAACTACGTATATCAAGCCTATATAATTTCATGTTCGGTAAAAGGTGTCGATGCAGTGATGGGCATCGACGCTGTTATGCGGAAAGGTGACCTCCAAAAACCTCATGCCCATCGCTGCATGTGGAAGAAGAGGATGGGCGAAACGAAGGCAACAACCAGTCTTAATAGTGGTTCCTTCGCCTTACCTCTACGTACGTAAGTAGGTTAAGTTTGTTCAACAAAACTGATGCCCAGTTCACACCCGTTTTCTGCTAGCAGTCTAACACGGAGCAACTTACGCAGGGAGACATGAGCAGAGATACTTTCTGGTTCTAAGCTTTTTGCATAGTATAAACTATTTTAAAATATTTTTCATTTTTGGATTCTACGTAAAAAATAAAGTTCAACGTTTTGTATCATTCCTTATCTTGACAGGAATCTGGTAGACGGTTCATAGAAGGATTCAAACATTTTACCCTACCATTACTGTTTAGGGTGCAGGGTGTTGTAAGTAAATTCTTGCAAAGCTTTCTGTCGCATCGATGCACTGCAATATTCAAAAATTATGATGAAATAGAGCACAATCTGAGGTTAACTTCTTTAATAATAATAATAAATAGTCCATGTTTGCGCTGAAAGCTTTATGTTCAGTACCTCTATAGATTCATCTCAATATTCAACAATAAAGGAAAATCTATATAGCTACTAGGTATATAGAGTCATTTATGTAAATAACCTTGAATAGCAAGTGCATCTTAAGGAAATATTTTCAAATATGCATAGCGTGTCATGAAGTCGTGGCCAATATTAGCTTTGTTAATTTAAATGCATTTTCATGCTCTAAGCGTCTCTATTCAGTACGGTTCTAATTATTCCTGCTATTTGTGCGGCCTTTGATTTGGTCTATAAACCTGACGGGGAATCTCATTCTTTTGCTATCGACTTTCTCATGGATCATAATTTTCTCCATTTGGTCCTTTCGTATCCCGTGACCGAAATATGTGAGTTTGCTTTGATGGACTGTTGGAAGTAGCCTTTCATGACTTCGAATAATGAGTTACTATGTATGGAAATATTTGCCCTCTGAGTTCTCAACATCCTGCTATAGCATATCATTTGAAACGAATCTATTCTGAGATTCTGAGCGATAGATTGCGATGGAGAATATCAGCGCTGTCAGAAGTCTGATCTTTATCATATTTTTTATTCAAAATTGAATGGTGAACTTATTAAAATGGCATATACATCAAAAAGTAATAATTTTTTGGACACTTTGTATAGCTTTAGAAAATGTTCAAAGGCGGGTTTAGACAGCTTCGTCGTCAAAGAATTTCCTATATAAATCTTGAGTCAAAATTGTTTAACGATATTGAGTAAAATACTTTTTACAGAAAATATTTCAGAAAGTGTTTGTCTTAGACATAGCATACCTTAAATAAAAGTTATTCGGAATCCATTTAGAATCCAAAAAATACAATGTTCTGATATCTACCACATGACACACACATGATATTTGAAAATATTTTCAGATTCATTCATTAACTACTCATATATCTACTCACATCAAAATTCGGAATATTAAAAAAAAATCCTTCTAGACATACGTCTAATAGGCCATATACGTGAATCATCTTGTATGGAGGCCCTGCCTATGCTGATAATACAGTAACTTTGGGAGCGATTTAAAGACAATGTTGAGGAGGATCATGAAATTTTATTTCAATTATTTCAAATGAACCAGTGCAAGAAACGCGATTTATGGATACTTGCCGATAATTTCATAGAGAATGCTTTTAATTTTGCTAGTTCGAAGGGACAATGCAAAATTGTCCTTTGAGGTATTGGTTTCTATAAACAATGGCGACGTCATTGGAGAATAAATATGAGAATAGAGCAACTTGGCATAATTTATTTTATACAATCGCATTTAAGATGAATACACCCCTAGATTTTGGATTTTTAAATAAATATAGATTTGGAGATCCATAGTCATATATATCATAGTTTACAATTTATAAAATACTCAACTGAAGTTTAAATTTAAAACATGGGCAATTTTCCATATCTTTGCTTTCCATTAGAGATATCGAAGAAAGTTGTCCCGAAAATTATTTTAATCCCACATACCAAATTTCATGACAAAAATCTCATTCTTAGTTTTTTCATTATTTTGTTCAATACATAAAATTATTAAAAGCTGATTTTTTACATGATAAATTACTGTATCATAGGAAAAGGAATAATTATCTTATTTCAAGCAAACAATAATTTTTAGTAACTGATGAAATTTACCAAAATAATAAAAACAGTCATTTTCATAGTACAAATGTTAGCTCGCTCTACTAGTCCTTCATTTAATCGAATACATTTTTCAATTCCTTTCAGATTGTGTTTGTGTTGTGTCTAAGTTCTGGAACAAATTGGGAGTGCAGTCTGGAAATGGAAATGGAAAACAGGCAATACATGATTATAGCAGGAAGGGAGCAAGATATAAAATTGGAAAAGGGTATAATAAAAAATGGAAGGGAGTATTTAGGAATTACAAACTGTACCAATAAGAGAGACGACAAGGACATAATGAAAAAAATATCCAGGGGTAAAAACATGACTGCAAGATCTCGTCAGAAATGAAGACATTCCAAGTAGATGTGTGCTACTACCATTATGGACAAGATACATAAAAAACAGCTGAAATGGTATGAGAATCTACGTCGAAAGAACGACGGAAGAGTACCAACAAAGGCATGGGATCATACCCCAACACAAACAAACAAAGAGGAAAGAAGAAAAAAATGGATAAACCAAATAGCTCAAGAAATGGGGGCACGAAGGCTGCAAACATCCCAAAATGTACCGAATTTTACAAAAAATTAACAAATATCAGCTTAAATTCACAAAACAATTTTAAAACCACTCAAAAGGAAATGAATATAAAAATGTTATATTCTTTTAAAAAAATGCCACAGAAAAAAGGCATGAAATATATTCAAAAATAAAATGAAGATGTTCCAGGTAGATGTGTGCTACTACCATCATGGACAAGATAAATAAAAAACAACTGAAATGGTACGGGCATCTACGTCGAATGAACGACGGAAGAGTACCATCAAAGGTGATCATACCCCAACACAAACAGACAAAAGAGGAAAGACAAGAAAAATATGGATAAACCACATAGCTCAAGAAATAGGAGTAAGAGGGCTGCAGGAAGAAGACGGGAATGAGAAGGACCGGTGGCGTTTGGGATGCGAGAAGCGGCAATAAAGCTGCAATAAAAGCAGCTATATACGTATATACAGTTTGTTATCATTTTAACTATTGACAACAATTCTTGAAAGCAAACATCCCAAAATGTACCGATTTTACAAAAAATTAACAAATATCAGCTTAAATTCACAAAACAATTTTAAAACCACTCAAAAGGAAATGGATATAAAAATGTTATATTCTTTTAAAAAAATGCCACAGAAAAAAGGCATGAAATATATTCAAAAATAAAATGAAGATGTTCCAGGTAGATGTGTGCTACTACCATCATGGACAAGATAAATTAAAAACAACTGAAATGGTACGGGTATCTACGTCAAATGAACGACAGAAGAGTACCATCAAAGGTATGGGATCACACCCCAACACAAACAGACAAAAGAGGAAAGACAAAAAAAAATGGATAAACCACATAGCTCAAGAAATAGGAGTAAGAGGGCTGTAGGAAGAAGGCGGGAATGACAACGACCGGTGGCGTTTGGGATGCGAGAAGCGGCAATAAAGCTGCAATTAAAGCAGCTATATACGTGTATACATTTTGTTATCATTTTAACTATTGACAACAATCCTTGAAAGCAAACATCCCAAAATGTACCGAATTTTACAAAAAATTAACAAATATCAGCTTAAATTCACAAAACAATTTTAAAACCACTCAAAAGGAAATGAATATAAAAATGTTATATTCTTTTAAAAAAATGCCACAGAAAAAAGGCATGAAATATATTCAAAAATAAAATGAAGATGTTCCAGGTAGATGTGTGCTACTACCATCATGGACAAGATAAATAAAAAACAACTGAAATGGTACGGGCATCTACGTCGAATGAACGACGGAAGAGTACCATCAAAGGTGATCATACCCCAACACAAACAGACAAAAGAGGAAAGACAAGAAAAATATGGATAAACCACATAGCTCAAGAAATAGGAGTAAGAGGGCTGCAGGAAGAAGACGGGAATGAGAAGGACCGGTGGCGTTTGGGATGCGAGAAGCGGCAATAAAGCTGCAATAAAAGCAGCTATATACGTATATACAGTTTGTTATCATTTTAACTATTGACAACAATTCTTGAAAGCAAACATCCCAAAATGTACCGATTTTACAAAAAATTAACAAATATCAGCTTAAATTCACAAAACAATTTTAAAACCACTCAAAAGGAAATGGATATAAAAATGTTATATTCTTTTAAAAAAATGCCACAGAAAAAAGGCATGAAATATATTCAAAAATAAAATGAAGATGTTCCAGGTAGATGTGTGCTACTACCATCATGGACAAGATAAATTAAAAACAACTGAAATGGTACGGGTATCTACGTCAAATGAACGACAGAAGAGTACCATCAAAGGTATGGGATCACACCCCAACACAAACAGACAAAAGAGGAAAGACAAAAAAAAATGGATAAACCACATAGCTCAAGAAATAGGAGTAAGAGGGCTGTAGGAAGAAGGCGGGAATGACAACGACCGGTGGCGTTTGGGATGCGAGAAGCGGCAATAAAGCTGCAATTAAAGCAGCTATATACGTGTATACATTTTGTTATCATTTTAACTATTGACAACAATCCTTGAAAGCAAACATCCCAAAATGTACCGAATTTTACAAAAAATTAACAAATATCAGCTTAAATTCACAAAACAATTTTAAAACCACTCAAAAGGAAATGAATATAAAAATGTTATGTTCTTTTAAAAAAATGCCACAGGAAAAAAGCATGG